CACACCGTCTTAGCCAAAACAGCAAGATTCTTCAGTTATTTTCAAAAATGGCATATTAGCCTGAACTAGACTCCGAATTTTCATTACTCAAAGGGTTTGTGAAAAATGTGGTCATTTCTGATTATTACGAGCTGGGCTGAAAAGTCAAAGTCACGCAAGGAATCGTGTGCAGAAGTATCAGATTGAATATAAATTTCGCCATCAACAGTCGGACTTGCTTTCTTCCATTAAGTCATAATCAATGTAAGAACAATTATGAAGATACGGAACAAACTAATATCCAAAATAAATTTGCCCGCGGTGAAATAGAGCTTTTAAAAGTCTGTCTGATGTTCGTAGTCATTGCAGAAGCCATGAGAAGGCAACGGAAGTAGATGCGTAATAGGGAAGAGATTGCTATCTTGATTTATCCTTTTCACACTATGTAATATGTACTGAGTTTTAGCATTTTTATTTGTTCAGTATAACTATTACAACTTTTAGAGTTTGTGAAGGTTGCATTTTATTTAAACTTTTACTTTTTTTAAAACTAACATTTAGACTAAAATGGATGAAGGATTAAAATGTAGCCAATCATAAGTACACATAAATATGTCATTTAAAAATGCGCTGACGTTTATGTATTTAAAGACTGATTCAGAGTTTTTTCTTTCTTTTTTCTTTTCAAGTGATGTCTAATTTGTTTATCTATTATTAGGATCGGCTGTTTTCATAATGTTTTTTAAAGATATTTGATGCCAATATTAGGAAGCACCCATGTTTTGAATTATTAGGCGTCTTATTGTGAGGTAACGGTTAACGAGCTAATCTAGCTATCTTTACGACTTTCTTTACAACCAATTTGAGCAGCAACGTCTGCTCTACAAGCATGGTAGTCTACGCTTTCTACTATGAGAGTTCAATCTAAACTAACTGTCCTGGCTTTGTGCTAGCGAAATTTAGTAAGTACTCATTTTGGTTATGATTTGGCTCAATGAACCTGGCTTCATCACAGATTGTTGTATTTGATATTTTATACAGTTTAACGCAACATTGGTCATTTGTGTGCTGACTATCTTGGATTTAACAAAATGAAGTTTATCAAATGTAGTGGTCTACACAACTTCTTAAATAAAAGTTTTACTGTATTTTCGTTTAAGAATGAATATCTATTCTTTTGTCATATGTGTTTGTTTTGCTTCAATCCACACTGACTCTCTTGCAATTGTGGCTTTCTACTAGCTAAACTTACTAAATACTTATTTCGGTTATGAATTGGTTCTAATTTTTTTAAATCATTTCACAAAAGCAATAAAGCCACCATGACACAAGGTGTTACTGAATGTGAAAGAATATGAGAAAAATATTAATACAAGAATAAAAGAAACCGGAACTAAGAAGGCAGAAGGCATTGAATTTAAATTTCTGAAAATCAAAGTTGACTAATGTTGTGGCCTTGTTAGGGCCAGAAATAAAGACACAAGAGAGGAACTGTGTTAAACAAATATATAAACACAAACTGTAATGCAAATATATAGAAACGAGAGTGTTACAACAAGAATGTTCGGTCCGACTGTCAGAGCTGACTGCTGGTAACTTCCCGATATTTATTTCTGTTAAAATACAGAAAATGTGGCACAAGGCCTAAAAAGGGGTGGGGAACAAGGACGGTCTTCATCTTTCTTAACTTTACTTTAAACTTAGCTAACCACAAACACTGTCCCAAACATACAAACAGTATTCCTAACTCCAAAACAACATACTCTTACTTGCCTTTCTTACTACATCCACCATAATACCTCATAGTCTCTATGAAAAGCCTAAATAGTCCCCATATGTACAACTCTTTATCTGGGAAATGAATACCCCCCCACAATCCCAAAATGTGGCAGAAACATCAGTTAACTGGACGAAATAAAGACACAAGAGAGAAATTGAATTAAACAAATATATTAACAGAAACAGTAATACAAACATATAAAACAAGATTGTTACAGCAAGAATCTTCAATTTGAACGTCAGAGCTGACTTCTGGAAACTTCTCTCTCCGTAATGCGTAATACCTATCATATCAAGTTCCTAACGTTTTGTACGTCGAACCTATTTTAGGACCGATTTAGTACAAATACAAGCCTCCACTGTGAAATAACTCCACAACAATACAGGAAGACATAGTAGTTAAGAGTACACTTGTGTTTTTTTGTTACTTACATGTGCAGTCCATTGTATTTTCAGCATCCGTCGTTTCGCATCTCTTCTTCATCTATAAATAAATAATCCAGCATCCACTTCCATACAGGAAGACATAGTAGTTAAGAGTACACTTGTGTTTTTTTGTTGCTCACATATACAGTCCATAGTATTTTAGTATACATTTAGAGAACCACATTTCTGCTGCATGTCTCTTCTTCATCTGGGAGGAGATTGTCCAGCATTCTCTGTCACATAGAAGGACTGATATTGCATAACAGTACAGTAGTCTTTGATTTGTTTCTAACGATATTTTCTTGTTTCTTAATACTCTGCTGAGCTTTTAGAAGACATCTTTCATTACTTCGAATTAACTCAGAATCGCCTCACTAAATAGGTTGAATAAGTCCTATGAGATGACACATCCTTGTCTTATACCTCTTTCTATTTTTTGTGCATTTCAGTCAGTCAGTTATGTGCCATGCGTGAAACACGCTTAGGCGATCATGTATCTTTCGATACATTACTGTCGAGGCAGATTTTTTTCCCGCAGTTGGTTGCCATATCTTTCTGTGGTAGACCAGTTGCCATCAAAGTCTATAGAACCCGGTCGGTCCTGCTATTTACCATAGCTGGGGGGGGGGAGAAGACGATGATTCATACCTTTCCCAAGGGTATTAACGAAACTCGGCTCTCCGATTCCTCAGTCCGAGCCGCTATCCATTATTCCACCATCGGATGACATCTTTCGCTGTTCCCATTTACCTTCGGATTTCTGTGTCACTTTTTTGTGGTACATATTTACCAAACTTAAGCGTGTGCGTGTGTGTGTGTGCGCGCGCGCGTGCGTACGTCTGTGTGTGTGTGTGTGTGTGTGTGTGTGTGTGTGTGTGTGTGTGTGTGCGTGTAATATTGGAATAGTCTTTTTGTGGACGTATACCAAAAATGTTTCTTGAATGGTGTGCGGAGGGCTAATTAACATTGACGGAAGACATATAAATGGACCATATATTTAGACTGCTAGTATTTAATTACCTCCACCACTATGGTGGCGGAATATGACACAAGACCGGTTTAAAGTGGCAGCTCAGACCGGTGTACCTGGGCTACGGCTAACTTTTGCACGGTCCCCGCAACCACCGTCGCGTATTCATCGATATTCAACCCCCACCACCTTCTTTAGGGCAATAAGGGAGATGCTGTTGCAAGAAAGGAATCCCCGGAACCAGGCATCCCTCAATGATTTTTCCGCGCTCTTTCCGAAGATAGACAGACTACAGTGTAATCTGCCAGCCAAAAGTTTGCATAGCGGACCAAACAAAAGAAATGCAGACAATCTTCGCTAATGGTAATATTAGCCGTTTCTTATAAGGAAACATTCGGCATTCATTGTCCGGACAGCCAGTGCTGCTCTATTTTATTCTATCGAGCTGGGATCAAAGTGCCGTTTTTGTTCTCCTCATCTCTAATGGTAGCATCAGCTGTTTCCTTATAAGGAAACATTCGGTATTAACTGATCGAGCAGACAGTGAACCTTTCAGTTGGAATTCATAAAATATTTCTATTAAAATAAAAGTTTCTTAAGTCCACTAACGGTTATCATTCTTTTCAATATCGATGGAGGCTTCCCTCCTAAATTTTGTTCGTAGTGGTGGGAAATGTCAACATCTTGATTATGTGTTTTATTTTCTCTTCGAGTTACATGTGCTATTCATTTTAACTATTGCTGCTGTTGCATGTCTTCAAGTGATGTGGTTTCTCTTATCTAGTACAGTTCTTAGAGATTCTATAGCACTAGTCCAGGATAGTCCTGAATTTATTTGCTCAAAGCCATTTTTAATCATTGATCTGAGAAAGCGATTGTATAGAGCCAATAGTTTCGATATGTCGGAACGAGTTTGGCGTCAAGCATGATATCGATATGAAAGCCTCGTCCTGCCGAGGTTAACGAATTAATGACGACCATCCCAATTTTAGGAATGGTCGACATTAATTGGTTAACATCTGAAGATTTTCGACAGAATATTTTGTTTTTCTAGCAGATGTTTCTCGAAGTCTCTCCTATCAGATATTCCGTTGTACCGGCTCACTTTTGATAAGCAGCAACAGCTAAAATCAGCTCCACAAGCGTTACATTTATTGCTTGGATTATGTAGTTCAGCTTTGCAGCTTAGAGCTCTCAGAAAAGCTCCAATTCAACACATTAATAATGATAATGGTGTGTTTAACCATGCAGAAAATATTCAGCATCCATTGGCCAAAGAATTAACGTTACTGCCGGTTGAAATTTATAAAATATTTCTCTTAAAACAGTTTTTCGTGAAAATAGGCTTCACAGGTCAATTGTTATCGCTCTTTCTTGTATTGATGGGAGTTTCCTTCTTAACCTTTTGCTTAGGGAAGTTTGAAAAGTCAACATCTTGATTACAGTATATAATCTTTGCAAAATTAAGAATTCCAATGAAATTTCCGCTATTATTCATGTTCCTACCCGCAAGAAAAATGTAAACAACTTTTTTTTCCCACTGCTGGCATCACCAGAAAAATAAAAGAAATTTTTAACATTTAAATAAAATATAGATCCGAGTTTTGTAAATAACTTTTAAGCTCAAGAGAATCTGGCATGAGATCATGGTAATAGTGAGATTACCCGTTTTCATCCAGATAACATTAGGCATTCATTGGCCAAACTGCTAGTGTTACTGTCAGTTGAAATACATAAAATCATTCTCTTAAAAGAGTTTTTCAAAAAATTAGACTTCTCACTTCTACTGTTATAGCCTTATAACATTGATGGGTATTTCCTTCCGAATCGGGGTTTAGGGCCAAATCATGTTCCCATAAGACCACTGAAGTTAAGCAAACTCGAGCTTGGTCGATACCTAAATGGGTGACCGCTTGGGAACACCGCGTTCTGTAAGCTTTAATGTGCGGGTAGTGGAATGGATAATGACTCGAGATTTTTCATCAGAGAGCCGAGTTTTAATTACAGTTTACGCGTAAATACTCTTGGGAAAAGTATGAATCCACCTCTTGTCCCCCATCTATCGGTTAATTAGTAAGACTTCTATCACTAAATGATTATTATCTCAAAAAAATTCTTACAATTTAAAAAAAAACATATTTTTCTGGCTTTAAACAACCCACAAATGTTTGAGAAGCCGTAGAAAATCAATCCAAATCCAAATTAAGTTCCAAATCATTTGTTTTTGGTAGGGGGGAAAGTTAATAGCTTGGTTGTGACATTATTTTCTCTTCTGGTTAGGGCTACTCATTTTCTGTTCTTGCTGCTGTTGGAAGTTTTAAAATGATGTAGCTTTTGTTATTTTATAAAGTTCGTTTCTGTGATTCTATTGTGCCAGTCTATAAGAATCTGATGAAATTTTGTCTTCTTTAATCCTGCGTTAGACACCTGGGATTTCCGGAAAATGAATAGTCCCCTTAGGTGTTTGCACACCACAAATCCAAAATGCTTATAGTGCTACAATTGTGTAAATGTTATCGTACTGCTGAAGAAAATAACATAAAAGGCAATCTCTGTTACAATATACATGAAATCTAAACTTGAACTGAAGATATAATTAGTCATTGAAATGAAAATTGCAATAAATTTCTTGCAGAAGCATATGTTGTAAATTATAGGTGAAATACACCAATACAATAATAGAGAAAGGTTTTTTTTTTCATTAAAAATAGCCACAATATAACTTTTAAGCTCAACAGACATGAATAGAAATATATTACATTAGCTAAACTCATTATTACAGGCCTGACAGAATTATATATATATATATATATATATATATATATATATATAAATATATATATATATATATATAAATCATATATATATATATATATATATATATATAAATCATATATATATATATATATAAATCATATATATATATATATATATATATATATATATATATATATATATAAAAAAATATATATATATATATAAATATATATAAATCATGAAAACTCACCTTCGTTAGTCAGGTGGGGTGAGACAAAGCAACATCTGCCTCTTATGACACTTGAGCTACAACTGCGCCTTACACCACGTGTCTAAAACAGCCTCACTGGGTCAGAAGTGGAGTGAGAGGGAGCAAAAGAAACAAATTGCCAACTAAGAATTACGAGAACTTAAAAAAAAATTGTATACCAAAACAACCCATGTTACTAATACGAACGCTTGTATCCCTATCTTCTAGTGCGGCTAGCCAATCCCTTTTACAGACGCCTGCTCAGGAACATTTGTGTTTGTTCAACGCCCCCGGATCCAACCTGTGGTTATAACCATGATTTTTTTTTCTGTGAAAGTGTGCATCATCTTGCGTGATCAACAGTTTTAAGCAAGGCAAATACGCTCAAATCCTTCGTTATCATAGCACATCTATCGACAAAACAATTCCATCTATTCGACTATAACGAGATTCTAACCAGGAGCTCATGGTCTGAACTCGAACGTTCTAAACACTCTGCCACGCGCCCATAGCATATGTTTATTTTAAAACACATTAAATTATTAACTTTGTGGACAGCACAGGATACAAAATGATATTAACTGCTTATTTTATGAGGAATGTTGTTGGGGCATTATTTTTTTTTTTTTTTACCGCGTTCTTACTGATGTGAAAAATATGAAGAAACCGACCCCAAAAGAATGTTATAGGAAGAGTGTGTTTGATACTAGAAAGAGAAATTAATGGGACCAATAAAATGAAGACTATCAAGACTTTAACTATACCCGTATTAACATGCAGCTTCAGTATTATTAAATGGAAATGGAAGATGAATAACATTAAAAGATCAGACGCCCAGGCCAGAAAAATGCTTACCCAAATGAGGATGCACCACACGAAATCAGATGTTGATAGGCTGTACGTACCAAGAGATTTAGTAGGTCGAGTTCTAATCCAACCTGAACTAACTAAAAACCACAACAATCGGATTGGAAGCAGGCCTCACAAGATCAATAACCCTCTCCTACAAATAGTAAAACACAAAATCCACTTCATCAACAAATATGTGCTCTTTAAGAAACAGCTTAATATACCTGAAATCCTACCAACAAAAAACGAAGTGAATACCATCTACGCCAAACGAGTAAAACAGAAAGCAAAACAACTTGGCCAAAGGAAGTTACAAAAAAAATGGGAGGACAAGACGTTGCATGGCAAATTCCCAAAAATGAGCGAAAGAAGCAGATGTGGACCAACAGAAAACACATCAGTGGCTGAGGAGTACTGGATTGAAAGCTAAGACAGAAGCCCTAATTATTGCAGCTCAGGACCAAAACCTCGCAACAAAATCTCTGAGAGATGGTATGTACACCAACCAGGTACAGTTACCCAAAATGACGATGTAACTTTCCTCTGGGACATGCCAATTGAAACTGATGAGGAAATAAAAGTCAACAGTCCTGATATTATCATAAAAGACAAGAAATTCAGGAAGTGTATGTTCATTGACATAGCAATAACATCTGAGAGAAACACCTCCATGAAAATTATCGAGAAATTGTCCAAATACAAAGACTTGGAGATCGAGAGTAACAATAAAAATCGGAGCTCTGGACCTCGTTAGAAAATAAATGGACAATTTTGCTAACAGTGTCCCAGGTAACATTAACATACAAGTTGTCCAGAAGATCGTCCTACTAGGAACATCCCATATACTAAGAAAAGTGCTATCAATTAAATGACAATTTTCCTTTAGGGCCTAAAGACCATTGTTTGGGCCCGTCTCTATGGGATACAAAGCAGGAAACATAACATACACAAAAATAATAATAATAATAATAATAATAATAATAATAATAATAATAATAAAATACAAGGACCTGCAGATCGAGATAAACAATGCAGATCGAGATGTGCAATGAAGACTGAGTCTGTACCAATAGTAATCGGAGCTCTGGGCTTCGTGAGAAAAGGAATTAACAATTTTCTAAGTCTCCCGGGTAACATCAACATACAAGTTGCCCAGAATATCGCCCCTACCAAGAACATTCCATATACGAAAAGTGATATTAATTAAATGAAAATTCTCCTATAGGTCCTAAAGGCCATAGTTTGGACCCGGCTCTACAGGATACAAAGCAGGAAACATAACATAACATACACAAATAATAATAATAATAATAATACATTGACGCGTTCGTAGGCCAATTACAATCGTTGTGAACTTGATCATTTTTTAGATGGCTGCATAGAGAGTTGTCCTTCTTTTAGGTGGTTTCCAGATACGGCTAGAGATCCCAAAGATATTTGCGCGAAAATGTATGCAACCTGCATGTCAATATCGCTACTTTATCTGTTATAATATAAAATGATATTTTTTCAAAAAAGTGCAACATATAAAATACATTGGATAATGTAAGCATTCTCCATGCCATTTTTTCAGAATGTTTGAGACATCTTAGAAGTGTTTCTTAATTAATTCAATTCTTTATTCTTTACTTTATTCTGGTGACAATTATAAACGAATATATCTAGAAGTAATTTCCAAAGCGAAACTTAGATGTGGCACAATGTCGAAAGTATGGAGTAGCCAGAACTCACTACTTAGTCGTAATTGATCTAGGGAAACAAGCTTACACTACGTTGAAGGGCATAGCTTAGATGTGACACAAGGCTGAAAGGAGGGAGGATCGAACTCACTACTCGGTCGGAATTGATCTAGAGAGATATGGGTAAGAATTTCAGTGACAGCGAGGCAATGGGTTGCTGAAGTTTATGATAAGGAGTGCGTATGGGTTGGAAATGGTTTGAAAAGTTTACAAAAAGAGACTTCGAATCCAATAGCCAAGAATGGTCTGGAAGATCTCAGTACTTGAAAACCGATGATTTGAATGACCTTTTGTAGATACAATGCAAACAATGCGGGCACCTGTAGAAAGATCCTAAGTTAATCAGTCACTTTATTTGAATGAGATATTAAAGCAATAAAATCTTTTTTACAGGAAAAAAATGTTCAACCGGGAATTTTGATGTATGATAGCACACTTTCTCATTTACAAATGTGATGCAGTAAAGCTTAAAAACCAAATTGAATCCTTTCATTGTTACCAACGAATTCTTGCTTCCATTATATCTTCCACTTTGCCGAAAAGATTCCAGCATTCGCATGCATGTCTTTGTTGTTTACATTTCAAGGGTCATGGAATTGTCTCTCGAGGACTCTGACTACTTTTTCATGGACTTCCGACTTCCTCTATTAAATTCAGTCAGCCATCTCTTTTTCCTTTTCGCTCACCCGCTTCCCAAGACTACAGTATATTAGATGCAATAGTTGACTATAGCAAAGGGACTTTCTCTCCATCCATCTGCAAACATCTTTGTATTCGGTGACTTTAATCCTCACCACGACACGTGACTGAAACATTCTAAAGGTACTGATGTTGCCGGTATACAGACATTAAATTTTTCCATTGTCCAATCCCTCACTCAAATCGTGGATTTCCCTATTCGTTTCCATAGCCAAACCGAGCAACATGATTCTCTATTGGATCTGTTTCTTACTCCCTCTGCTCGCTCTTGCCAATCTTCACAATACTGCCCTCTTGACACCTCAGACCACTCTGGGGTAGCTATTGATATCTCCTTCCAAGCATCCATTAAAAAGAACCCCTTATCTATAAGACCTCTTTCCGGCACCAGCATGTTGATTGGGACTCATTACGGGATTTTCTTTGTGACGCCCTATGGATTGAATTCTTTCCAATTGAAAATAGTGCCACTGAGTTTTCTTCTTGGGTCAAAGCCGGTATGGACGTTTTCATCCTTTTTCGGAAATACCAGGTGAAACCGCAATCCTCTCCATGTTTCACACCAGCATGCTCGGCCGCCATAGCACACAGGAACTACTATTTCCGGCTATACCAGCGTAACTGCTCTCGTCATAACAGATA